AGCCTCACTTTCCCCCTGTTCAGCTTTAGCCCCTCTCCATTGCAGCCAATAAACCCAATTCTTTGGGCATCCAAGGAAACCCAAAAAGCTATCTTCCTTTTCTCCTTTCTGGTTTGGGTCTTCATACTCTACTGCGTGGACTCTTGTAGTGACCATCTAACTTATCTTCCTGCTTCAATTTCCTCCCTCTCTTGCCATTTCCACCCCCTACCACCTCCTAGATCCCAGGGTACATCTCTAATCACTCTAATCACGCTGCTCTGTAACACATATGGAAAAGATCAGACTCTTCAGCATGGCATTCAACCCCCCGACCCCCACCACCACTACTGTAATCTGCTCTCAACAGCTCTTTCAGCCCTGTTGCCATTATTTCTCTACATATACCCTATTTTCGAGCCAAACTCAAGTGAGTCTTCAAATCTCCCCTCTAGACAGTCTTCAAACACTCCTATGCTTTCAATCTCTGCATCTTCTGGTCACATCACTTCATCCTCTGCCTGAAATGCTGTTTTTCTCCTGTTCCTGTCCCTATTTATCCCTCAAGGTCTGATTTAAATGTCACCTCTTCCATGAAGCCTTCCCTGATCTGCTAGCTGGAGGGAATCTCTCTCAGAGCACTGAATGCATGCCTCTCATCAAGCACGTATCCTCTATTTCTGTGCAAGAGATCTGCGTGCATATGCTAACTCTGAGTGTGAGATCTGCCGTCAGACTGGCTGGGTTTGAATCCTAGCTCTGTTACCTATCAGCCCTATTCTGTGGCCAAGTCACTTCACCTCTCCATGTCTCATTTATCAAATGGGAATAACAGAACTACAACTTCTCAGGGTTGTTCTGGCAACTGACACAATACATGAGCTATCTGGCATATCATATCAAAAATTGTGAATTGATATTAACAGTTAATAATTATATTAACAGTTAATAATGTTATTATTATCACTCCTATTAAACTGTTAGTTCTCAGAAGGCAAGGTCAGTGTCTGTTTATATTTGTAGCCACCGTACTAGTGCCTGGCAAAGTGCTTTAAACATAGTATGAACTCAGTAAGTGTGTTCTGAGAATGAAAGACACATGTATGCCAGTCTGATCAGTTCATCATTGTGAGTTTACCAAGTGCCTGCAAAACATCAGGTACTGTGTTATATGCTAGGGACATACAGCTGGGGAGGCACTTGACATAATCTTCACAGTAGCTGTATGCAGTAGGTATATTGTTTTTATTTTTATTATTATTTTATCTTAATTCCTTGGGATCTTAATTTCTTGACCAGGGATTGAATACACACCCACTGTAGTGGAAGCACAAAGTCTTAACCACTGGACCACAGAGAAGTCCCTAAAGTAGGTATGAAAAAAAAAAAAGACATTTTACAGATGAGAAAGCCAAGGCACAGAGATGTCAAGTTATCTTCTAGGGTCACACAGAGCCAGGATTTGAGTTCAGTTGGACCTGGAGACCCCAAACCCTGTGCTCCATGCTCTTCCCACTGAGCACACCACCCCACATAGTCTAGTCCAAAGTCGTCTCACCCTAGATCTAACCATCAAGGGCGATCATACTATGAGATCCTTTGCAGAAGCTGTTTTCTGCCTCAGAAAGTTTGCTCTTTTGCCCCAAGGGCTGAAGGCTGTTCCTAAATGTATCTCCTCTATCGCCTTCTTATCTCCTCCTTATTCTGCCTTTACGCTCTGGTCCTCCTCCATGTACCAGAACCTCCTAAACTTCTGGCCGCTAATGGCCAGACAACTGCCTTCTAGGAACAAGTTGTCCTAGAAGGACTTTCCCGGCCCGAGAGAAGTCTCCCTGCTGCTTCACCACGCCTTGGCTAGGACTGACATTCCAGAAGCTGACTTTATCAACTTCCTCCTCCTCCTCCAGGAAGACTTCCCAGCCTGACTATACTTGACTCACCCATTATGCACTCTATGTGCTCTTCTACACTGATCTGAACTCATGAGTGACATCCTCTGAGCATCTTAGATCTGCTTCCTCTGTGTGCCTGTGTCTACCGCATTTGTTGGATGGCCTCAAGGGAGCAGCATATAAGGAACAGCTGGTCCCAAGGCCGGTGTTCAGGCAGGGCCCCTCTTTGCTGCTGGAGTGGGGAGAGATATATTCCGTACTGAATAGTTACAGCCTGACCCTCTCATCCTCATGAAGAAGTGTGTCAGCTGCTGCTACTCTCCTGCTACATTTCAGCCCTGAAACCAGATCCCCATCCTCTTCCGAACAGGGGGAAAAGGGCTAGTCCTCCAGACATCAGCCTAACCAAGCCAGGATCCCCCAGTCCTCAGCCTCCCTCCAGTGCTCACTTGTTACAATGCAAATTTTCTGCCTCAGAAAATTGGGAAATTCTGCTACTTCAGTTTTGCAGGAACAGACTCTTCTTGTCCAGATTTTCCGGGCCAAGGGCAGGGCCAGGATGCAAGAGAGGAGCTCAGAACACCTTCAACAAAGATAATTTCACAACTTATTCTTCATGTTTCCTTTTCCAGGAGCTTTAACCTACAGCATCTTCATGACATATATTTCTTAAAGGGGATTTAATGGCACAAATGAACATAGAACTTGACTAGTATTACGTGAGTGCCATTCTTGGGCACACACTAAGTTAAGGCAAAGCCAAGCAACACACAGTCCCTCCTGGGTGGGAGGGGAAGATTCTGCCTGAGATGAATACACACACACACACACACACACACACACACACATTAAGCTCATCACACATACTAACTATAAGTCTTTCCCGCCCCATCACAGACCTTCCTAACCCAGCCACGACCAAGCTGCACTGAATTCAAACCCCAAAATCCTTAGAGGAGCCAAAAGGCTGAGTTTGCGCTAACTCAGCTCCACCTTCTCCTTCACTCCCATTGGGAAAACAGAGGAACTGCGATTTGGCTCTGTTACCTAAGCCCTGGGCTGAGGCGTCAGGGAGGGAACAAGACTCTGATAGCTCTGCCTGTCACTCTACTTGGTCTCCTTTCTGGGCAAACTGGCACTGGGGAGGGGGCGGAACACCATGGGTGGAGGAGGGTGCAGAGTTCTCCCATCTGAGTGTCATTCTGGGCCCCAGGCCAGGCATTTGGCTTCCTCTCCGAGAGAGGCAAAGGCTGAAGCTGCTCAGACAAAGGGCCAAATGAAAGCTAATGGGGAGCTGGGTGACTTCAGCCTCTCCCCTTCCTCCTCCCAGAGACTGGGGCTCAAGTCCTTGGCAGGAGAGGGTGCAAATCAAGACCTGGAGCTCAGCTCTGTTCAGATTCCTGCTGCCTCTTTTATTCTCCTGGCATCCACAGGCTGTCTTCCTCCCCTCACCACCTCCCACCTAGGGTGCTGTAAAAAATGCAAATCAGTGGGATTTTAAAATTCAAGCCCATGCCAGGAACACCCACAAACCCTCTATTAAGGCAGATCCTGAGGTGGGTGGTGTGGTCCCAGATTCCAAGCAAAAAAAAAGAGGATTCTGTTAGATTCTTTTCTTGACTTGAGTCTTGGACTTCAGACATCCTCTTGGTGACCTTGACCTTTCTCTCTGGTATTGGACAAAGGAATGGGAAAAGTCAGAATTGTGTATGTGTGGGCTGGGACCAGCCATCCCAAACTGACATGGAAAGCATGAGAAAATGATCATGGGAAGGGACATGATGGAGACTCTTCTGTCCCTCATCTAAGAAGCAGTCCTCTGATTAAAGTTCCCATCTGAGGGTCACCACAAAAAGGGCTTCAGAATGAAGTCCCAGAGAAATGACCACTGACCTGAGAAGGCAGGCCTGGAGTGGGACAGACAGAAAGAGTGCCTGGGCCACTTGACCATGAAGAATCAAAAGGGACACCTGCTGCTATAAGCTCCCCCTCCTCCCCAAGCTGGCCCCTGATACAACTGTCAAGTTCCCTCCTCAGTGTGGAGAGTGCGAGAGGCTGTCCTCGGCTCTGGAGAGCCACGGGCTGACACTTTCTGGATCCAGGTCTGTTGTCGTGAGCCTGGATGCCGCTGGTCTGAAGAGTAAGAAAAAAAGGGAAGGCAGAAAAGTGAGACCGAAAAAAGGTCGACTCCAAGAGAAACAGACTGAAAGGGACAAAAAGAGACGGAGGCAAGGCCCCAGGAGAGCTTGGTTGACAGGGATGGGCGTGGGGGGCCCAGATGCCGGGACGTCCGTAATATCTATCTGAATTCTGGTGGTGGAAAGAACAAGAGAGGTGGCAGGTGTGAGGGGGTGGGATAGGAAGTGGGTGAGAAGCAACGTGCCGCCCCACAACTGAGTTTCAGCGGGGCGCTCCTCTCCCCCTTGCGCGATTGCCATCCCCGCTCCCCTCTCCCCGAGACGGTGCCACTACTTCCAGCCCCCGCAGCCCGTCCTCTGCACGCTCGCTCCGCACTCCCCAAGCCCAGACCTGACATCTGGCTGGGCCTCCGCTCTCCCGCTCGCGAGCTGCCAGGCGGCGCCCCTCCTCCCGCGCCGGGCCCTCCCCCGCGGGTCCAGCTGCCAGCCCCCTCCCCGCTGGCAGGCAAGCCCAGGCAGACAGCCGGCCGGGCCTGCCCCCGCAGCCGCGCCAGCCCTGCCAAGCCCGGCCGCCAGGGCTGGGGGGTTGGGGTGGGGGCGGCGGTGCCAGCTCCCCTCAAGCAAGCAGTCCCCGGCCGACCTCCTGCCCCGGACAGGGTTGGGGCCGCGCACCCTCCTCCCGGCTCCCCGCGGCCCCGTGCGGCACCCGCAGCCCGGCATCCGCGTCCCGGGTGCGCCCTCTTTGCTCCCTCGGGATCTCAGGACGCACTTCAGTTGGAGCTGGCTTGGCTCTCGGTCCCTCTCACTGGTTCCTGACTGCTTCCCTCTCACACAAGTTTGCTCGTAGCCCTTTCCCCCCAGGACAGGTCCTGTCCGCCGCCTGCTAGCTGTGTCCCCTCCTCTCCTCTCCGGACCTCCTCCGCCCCAGCCAGGTAGGTACCCCTCGGGGCGGAGCAGCCCTCCCGCACCCCGGCGCCCGCTCCGCTCTTACCAGCTCCTGTTTCAGGCGGCGTAAATAGCAGTCCATTTCCCTGTTCTTCTACCTCATGCGCCCATTGGCCGGGCTCGGCTCCACAAGAGAGTCCCGGGGTGGGATCACTGGTCCCACTGAACCGGCGTTCCGGACAGCCTGCGCTCCGCGCCTCTCCCAGCGCAGAGCGGAGGCTCGGCTCCCAGGTCTGGACTTGGAGCCACTTCCCCCCTCCGCTAGCTGCGCGCGGTCCGTGCTGGGGGCGGAGGGAAAAGTGGGGCAGCCTATGAGAACTCAGGGGGACGCCTTCAGCCAATGAGGAGAGCGCACAGGGGGCGCGGGCTGGGCGGCCGTGGGTGGACCCTGGGGCGGGTGTGTGCACCAGGCGGACACCTCCGCTCCTGGGGGCCTAGGCTAGCACAGGCGACGCCTACCTGGCCCCTGGCCCGCGCGGCGGAGCGGGGTATCGTCACGCCAAACTGTACCAACGTCCCCCAACAAATTACGTGACCCCCCCCAACAGACAGCGCCCCGACTTAGGGATGGGCTCTGGGTACCAGTCTCGGAAGAAGCTGAGTGCCTCAGTGTCAACCCAGTTTCCCAAACTCTGATCAGAAAAGGAGCACCCTCCACCCCAAATGCCACTCGGCAGCTCTCTTGAATTCTGAACTGTTCAAAAAAGTGGACTTGGGAAGTGTGGGCTTACCTGACCTCCTAGTGTAAGGTCCTCGCCGTCCACTCCTCACCCCGGGAGCGGAGGAGCCGCCGCTCGGTCCATTCACATATTTAACACGAAGCAAAGGAGGCTCTACTTAGTACTCCGAATAGGGTTGGAGGTCTGCGTGCGAATACTAAATACGACGCGCAAGCTCTCTAGCTTTAAGAACGAACATGGGGCGGCGGGACGGAATGGAATAAGACAAACAGGTTTAAAAAAAAAAAACATAGGCACTGCGATTTCAGGTAATGATTCTTTATGAAAACATAAAATAGGGTCAGGGGATAGGGGCTGCTTTCAACAGGGTGCGCAAGGGTGGAGGAGCAAGCCTTGCTGTTCCCCAGTTATCCCAATTCTTGCTCGGGCCACTTGCAAAGCTCTCTGTTAAGTCGGAGAAGACAGAGGAAACTCAAAGATGCCACGATTCTGTACAACAGACTGCCCAAGCACCGGAGGTGTGCGAACTCCAGCCAGGCCCTGGCCCGTGGAGGTGCCGCAGGTGAATAGGAGAAGCGCCTGCAGGCCGACCCGGGCGCTCCTCCCAGCCGAATCCAGGACCCCCAACACCAGGCTCCGTGCGTGTTGGGGCTGCGGTTCCCACCCTGTGCCCAGGCACCGTGCCTCGCGTCCTGGCCCGGGTTGGTGGGGGGGGGGGGGGCGTGTTGCAGGGCACGAGAGTAATTAGCTCAATCAGAGACGTGTTGTTTCAAGGTAATTAACGCAGAAAGTTTGCCCCGGGCAAATTTAGGAGTCTCCGAGTGAGAACCGTGTGAAGACGCGAGAAAGGGAGCAAAAAGCGAAGACAGAAGCTTCGGCTATTCCGATCCGTGCCAGCAAAGAGCGCCACTTCTGCTTACTATGGCGAGATGAGAGCGAAAGAGGAGGGAGGTTAGCCAGGAACATCCTTAGACGTGAAGACTGCAGAGTCCAGTGGGATGGCCTCCACTTAACCCCGGGTTCGCAGTTACAGTGGACCTTATCTAGGGTTCTCGGCCTAGCCCCGAGTGCCCCCTTTGGATGAAGCTGGGCAGCGGTAGTCGCTGGCTAGAGAAAAGAAAGAAAACCCGGTCCGAAGCCTGTGTCTGGATGGCATCGCCAAGCTCAGATGCCCGCGCTCCCTTCACGGTCGCTACCCAGGATCCCGCGTGGGTCTGAGAAGCCGACGGCCGCGGGATGGAGCTGAGAATCTGCTGCCGCGTTTCCAACGTCGGCTGGGAGAGTCTCGAAAATACATTTCCTTCCGCTCTCCCAGGTCCGCTACAGCCAGCGGCCAGAATGGCCCGGCTAGTCCACTCAGCGTCGCAGAGCCCTCTCCGGCTTCCCTGCAGTCGTGAGTCGAGATCCCCAAGGGGCCCCTTTGGAAAGGACCCGAGGAAATTTCAGAGTGGGAGTACTCTGAAACTCCCACTGAGTACTCCAGCCCAGCTGAACTGGTTCTGAAGTTGAATCCTCTGGGATTGTCCATTAACATTTAGTCCAAGGGGGAAGCTTTATGCGAGAGATGGCGGGGAGCGGGGAGAAACACCACAAAATGGTTCTCCAACCGGGAGGGTTGTGCTTTGCTTTCCAGCACCCAATACAGCAGCAACTATAGGAGGCATGGAGTTTGTGCATAGTGGTTGGAATAGTCTTGAGAATCAAGTTTCAGGTCTGATTTTTCTCCATCCCTGTGACCTAATGGATTGGAATCCTCTTGAAAGTTAGTAGGAGGGTGGCTATGGTTAAACCTCCAAGAGATGCAGGCTGATCTTTTGGCAAGAATTCAGGACTGGGTAGATTAGGCCTTCTAGACTATGGACATGAACTTGGGCAAACTTCTGGAGCTGGTGAGGGACAGGGAGGCCTGGTGCTACAGTCCATGGGGTCGCAAAGAATCAGAGGCGACTGGGCGGACTGAACAGCAAACTGTTGATAACACAGTATGATCTTGGACAAATGCTTTCCTTTGACTGGCCTGTTTCCCTTACTTATAGCTTAAACGTGAATTTAAAACTTTTACATTCATTACAAAACTCTATTTTGATAATGATTTGTGAAGTGGTCACGGCAAGAAGAATCCCTCTTAGAGATGAAGAATATAGTTAGCAAAGCCAAAGACTGCACACCACTCACTTTTAAGGTCGAAGCTATGGCAAGAAAAAAAAAAGGATGACCGTAATCTTACTGCAGTGCTCAGAAGAGGAGTTGCAGACAAGTCAGAAGTGCTAGTACTGCGGTTCCCACAGGATTCTGGAAGACAATCACTGTCAAGCTCTAGAGTGCTTTTATGATCCCAGTACATTGCAGTTTTCTTGCTCCCCTGTCCCTGAGAAGAACAACATTACACCAGAGTGCAGGGCTCTCTCTGTCTTACCTGATTTCTGAAATGATAGATCTGTCACCTGAGCAGAGCAGGAGACAGGGATAGGAAAAAGCATTGCCCTCCACTTTTCTTTTTCCTCCTAAGTAGTAGAGAATAGAGCCTGTTGCCATGGTTGTGTAAACAGAGATAAATATTCCTGGGCTGAGGATGGGGGTGTGGGGATAGGGGACATGATTCATTTTTGTTGAAGAGGAATCAAATGGTTCAGCCTCCTCCCTCCTGGCCCCCAAAACTCAGCCTGGGGGGAAGGTGAGATTACCTCATTGGAAAATAAAGAATAAATCAAAGGTGTTGAGATTGGATGTGAAGGTACTTTCTCAAAGCTGTCTAGAGCTGGGGTGGAGCCCTCAGAAGGTATCTCAGTTTTGCCCCCTGCTGGTAGGGATAAGTACTTTTCTTGAGGGAGCGAGTTGCAGCTCCTGCAGTTCCTAAGGGTGTAAAAAGCGCCTGTGGTTTGCCCAGCCTCTCAGGGAAGGGGGTCCCCTCTGCCCCACTGCCAGACTGAACTCAAAGGGACAGGCAGAACCTGTTGTGTCCCGACAGAGCTCAGATCCTAAACTAAACAATGGAAACACTGCCATTCTTCTGGTTCCAGATCCTATGCTCCCCACCTGGATGTCTCCACCCACCAAGTCCTAGCCTGCTCTGAAAGAGGCGCTGCTGAGTGAGGCTGTGCCTATCTCATCTCCACTGGCAATAGAAGAGCCAGGGAGCTCATCCTGATGTGAGGAAAGAGATATATGGCCACACGCAGTCTAGAAACCTCATTATGACATCACCCTCCCAAGGGCGGGGTCCGTGTCCCCATTGCATTCATGCCTCCGCCCCTTGTGGCTGCCAACACCATTATCCCAATCCCCCTCCCCGCTCCCCCCAGGGCTCCTGAGCATCAACAGGAAAGGCTGACCCTAGAGATAAACATGTGCTGTTGGAATGTGTTCAGATATCACTGCGGAACTATTTCTCTCCAGGCAGAGGACCTTTCCTGGCAGGCAGGCCCAGAGGTGCTGAGCAGAGACTGTGTGTCTGGTGTGAATGCTCGGATGGTGGGGGAGGAACTGGACAGAAGCCTAACTCTTCTTAAAATAATCTCTCAGTTTTCATGACATCTTCCTCTGTCCACCTTAGACAGAAGCCTCTTCAATTCCAACACCAGGGGAGACAGCAGAGAGATGAAGTGGCCTGTATGTTGGGAGCTATCTAGGTTCCAAAAGAAAGATTCACTTTGGGATTTAAGTAAAAACTCTTTTGACTGGGTGGCAGAATCAAAGACTCTAGTCATAAGGAGCTCCTTAGCGTTTAGTGTCTTCAAACATAGAGAATCATTCTCCCTGCTTACAGACAGAGCAACTGAGGCCCAAAGAGATTCATCTTTATGGTGATATAATAAACTCTCCCTTTTTCCAAGGCAACCTTTTCCTACTGCCCTCCTGTACAGAAAGCAGGAGACAAGTGGATTACTGGGATGATGAGCCACTGAAGGAGTGAGTCCAGGTACTTCCCCATCTGCAGAAAAGCCATCACTCTTACACAGAGTGCTAACTTAGATGCTACTTCCACAACCATCACTTCTTTACAAATTCCCTGGGCTCTGAGACCAGGTTCTCAGTTTTACGGGCACTGAAATTTTGAGGGAGGGACACAGGAAGGTGCTGGAGGAAGCAGTAGTAGGATAGTAGTTTGAGAAAACTCCCATGAATGAATGGACTATGTCACCTGAACAATTCAGAAGGAATCGTAAGTGAAAAATTAGACTAGTCTGAATACTGAGCAGTTAGTCAATGGACTGCTCCCCACCCCTATTAGGAATTATTTGCAGTTATGGGCCTGTGCTTATGGTGCCTAAGCAATGGTCTCATTTCTGTGGGGAAGTAAACATTTCCATTTCGCAAACATTGGCTGGAAAAGCAAATATTTTTCAACTGCAAAGAACACCTGAAGAATGTCAGGGCAGAGTGAAGGGAAGTACTTATGGAA